CTGAATGCGGAGCAAAGGGGGGCAGCTGCCAGCCACCATGTGGCCCGGCCAGCCAGCCAGCCACAGTGTTTCCCCACCAAGGCTGCCCTAGCAGGGGCAGCCTCACTGTACTCCGGAAAGATGAAGAGAGGTAGGTTTGGTTCTTTTTAATTTTTGGTTCTTTGATTTGATCTTTTATGGCAGTTTTGGCTTCTGCAAAAAGGGGAGAATAGAGTTTTTAAAATTATAATTGATAATACAAGTGCTGAAGGAATCGACCAGGCCACGCGCAGTTTAACCTGCTGCTCACAAACAGGAAGGAACTAATAGGGGAAGTAGATGTGTGTGGCAACCTGGGAAGCATTGATCATGAGATTGTCAAGTTCAGGATCCTGACCAAAGGAAGAAAGCAGCAACACACACACCCTGGACTTAAGAAAAGCAGACTTTGATTCCCTCAGAGAACTGATGGGCAGGATCCCCTGGGATGCTAACATGAACAGGAAAGGAGTCCACGAGAGCTAGCAGTATTTTAAAGCAGCCTTGTTGAAGGCACAGGAACAAACCAGCCTGATGAGCAGTAAGAAAAGCAAATATTGTAGGCAACCAGATTAGCTTACCGGGGAAATCCTTGGCAAGTTTAAACACAAAAAGGAAGCTTATAAGAAGTGGAAACTTGGACAAATGACAAGGGAGGAGTATAAATATATTGCTCAGGAATGCAGGGGAGCAATCAAGGCGGCAAAAGCACAACTGGAATTGCAGCTAGCAAGGGATGTGAAGAGTAACAAGAAAGGTTTCTACATGTTAGCAATAAGGGTGATCAGAGAAGGTGAGGGGCCCTTACTGGATGAGGGAGGTAACCTAGTGACAGATGAGTACTTCAGCTTTTCCCACATCAATGCTTTTTTTGCTTGTCTTCACAGACAAGCTCAGCTCCCAGATTACTACACTGCGTTACCTAGTGCGGGAAAGAAGGTGGGCAGCCCTCGGTGGAGAAAGAACAGGATAAGAACTATTTAGAAAAATCTAGACACACACAGATCCATGGGTCCAGACTTAATGCATCCTAGGGTACCGAGGGAGCTGGTAAAATGTCATTGCAGAGCCTTTGGCCATTATCTTTGAAAACTCATGGAGATCGGGAAAGGCACCAGATGATTGGAAAAAGGCAAATGTAGCACCCATCTTTAAAAAACAAACAAACAAACAAACGAACGAACAATCCAGGGAACTAAAGACTGGTCAGCCTTACTTCGGTCCCCAGAAAAATCATGGAGGGAATCCTCAAGGAATCCATCTTGAAGCACTTGGAAGAGGGGAAAGTGATCAGGAACAGTCAAAAATGGATTCACAAAGGGCAAGTCATGCCTGACCAACCTGATTAGCTTCTACGATGAGGTAACTGTCTCGGTGGACATGGGGAAGTCAATGGATGTGATATATCTTGACTTTAGCAAAGCTTTTGATACCGGTCTCCCACAACATTCTTGCCAAGAAGTTAAGGGAGTATGGATTGGATAAATAGACTGTAAGGTGGACAGAAAGCTGGCTAGATTGGTAGACCCAACGGATAGTGATCAACAGCTCAATGTCTGGTTGGCGGTCGGTTTCCCCAACTGAGTGGAGTGCCCCAAGGATCGGTTCTAGGGCTGGTTTCATTCAACATTTTTATTAAGGACCTGGATGAGAAGATGGATTGCAGCCTCAGCAAGTTTGCAGATGACACGAAGCTAGGGAGAGAGGTAGATATGTTGGAGGGTAGGGATAGGGTGCAGAGTGACCTAGACAAATTGGAGGATTGGGCCAAAAGAAATCTGATGCAGTTTAACAAGAACAAGTGCAGAGTACTGCACTTGAGACGGAAGAATCCCAAGCACTGTTACAGGCTGGGGACCAACTTACGAAGTAGCAGTTCAGCAGAAAAAGACATGGGGATTACAGTGGATGAGAAGCTGTATACGAGTGAACCATGTGCCCTTGTAGCAAAGAAGGCTAGTGACATATTAGAGTGCATTAGGAAGAGCATTTCCAGCAGATGTAGACAACTTATTATTCTCTTTTATCCAGCACTGGTGAGGCCACATCTGGAGTATTGCGTCCAGTTTTGGGCCCACCAATATAGAAAGGATGTGGACACATTGGAGAGGGTCCAGCGGAGAGCAACTAAAATGATAAGGGAGCTGGAGCACATGACCTATGAAGAGAGGCTGAGGGATTTGGGCTTATTTAGTCTGCAGAAGAGAAGAGTGAGGGGGGATTTGATAGAATTTCGAAAGAGGATGGAGAGAGGCTGTTCTCAGTAATGACAGATGACAGAACAAGGAGCAATGGTCTCAAGTTACAGTGGGGGAGGCCTAGGTTGGCTTTTAGGAAAAACTATTTCACTAGGAGGGTGGTGAAGCACTGGAATGGGTTACCTAGGGAGGTGGTGTAATCTCCATCCCTAAAGGTTTTTAAGTCCCAGCTTGACAAAGCCAGGCTGGGATGATTAAGTTACGATTGGTTCTGCTTTGGGCAGGGGACTGGATTTGATGACCTCCTGAGGTCTCTTCCAGCCCTAGGATTCTATGATTCTATAATTGGCCAAGAAAACTTGAACCTTTCACAGTATATGACGTTTCAGAGGTAATGCTGGAATTTTAAAGGATGGAGATGCCACAACCTCCATAGTCAATTTATTCCAATGCTTCACCACCCTGACAGGAAGTGTTTCCCAAATGTCCAACCTAAACCTCCTTTGTTGCAATTAAAACCCATTGTTTGAAAACTTATCATACCCCCCTGAATCGTCTCTTTTCCAGACTAAACAAACCCAATTATTTCAAATCTTCCGTCACAGGTCATTATTTCTAAACCTTTAATATTTTTTGTTGCTCTTCTCTGGACTTTCCATCATTTATTTCTCTACATCTTTCCTGAAATGTGGCCCCTGGAACTGGGCACAATACTCTAGTTAAGGCCTAAACTGTGCAGAGTAGAGCAGAAGAATTACTTCTCATATCTTGCTTACGACACTCCGGTTAATGCATCCAAGAATGTTTGCTTTATTTTCCCACTGTTGATTTATATTTAGCTTGTACTACTAGTTCCCTTTCTGCAATACTCCTTCTTAGGCAATTCCTTCCCATTTTGTATGAGTGAAACTGATTGTTCATTCTTAAGTGGAATACTTTGAATTTGTCCTTATTGAACTTCATCCTATTTACCTCAGACCATTTCTCCAATTTGTCCAGATCATTTTGAATTAAGACCCTATCCTCCAAAGCACTTGCAACCCCTCCAAGCTTGGTATCCTCCAAACGTTTCGAGCATACTCTCTATGCCTTTATCTAAATCATTGATTAAGATACTTAACAGAACCAAAACCAATCCCTGCAGAACCCTACTCATGTCCTTCCAACATGACTGTGAATCATTGAGAACTACAGCTTGAGCTTCTCTAGTACCGCACTCTCAAAACTGGCAACATCCATGGTCTGGCATGCTTTAAGTTATCCAGATGTCCATTTCTCATGGGTGTGGTCAACTATTCTGCAGTACCAGAAAGTATGTTTATAGCCACCAGTCCTGGCTCTCAGTGTTTTGTGCTATTATTTAGCTTTAATTTATCCCCAAATGCCTTTTAAGTAAGCAGTGGAAGCATCAGTGATGCTGCTAGACAATACTAACTTCCTGTGCTTTGGCCAATTCTCTGGTTCAGCACTGGTCAGGTCCTGAAAGTGCACTGTAGCCACAGAAAATGGCCTTTTAACATTCTGCCTGTACATCAAAGCCAATACTTTAACTCAGAGTTTCATTCTCAGACATTTAGCTGACTCAGATTTTTTGCCTTTCCAAAAGGTTTCCCTTTGCACATAATACTGTGGATAAAATACCTTTCATTTGAGGCTAATGACAACACTGTTCCTCTGATTAGCTAGCAAAGAGAAACTGCTGATTTGCAGTACTGCACTCTGTGTATTTCTATTTTCCTCCTACCTAATTAATTAGGATGCCCAATGACCAAAGGAGCTCAGTTTGCTTTGGGAGCAATATTAATCTTGCATAGCAGCAAAGAGCAATAGCAGTGACAGAAAAAGCATGTCACCTGTGGGAGTTTGACTGCTTTCTTTAGTTGCTGTTCTTCCCACATGTTTTGTGTTTCATCATCTTCACTTGCTTCATCACTCTTGGATCCTGGAAATAAAAGAGTCATATGACTAGAAGCAATTTTTCTCTCCAGCTTTCCTTTCTATGCTCTCTCCACAATCCCCCATAATATTTACTGCTTTTCCTACAAGTATTACTGGGGAAATCAGACAGGCAGAAGATCACATGAGGGATTTTCAAAGTGGGACTTACAGTCTAAAGCAGGAATAGACTTGTACTGAAAATTAAATCCCTGAGAATACAGTTTGTTAACAGTTGCTACAGAACCAATGCAAGCATAAAATCCTGTGGTGTACAAACAGTTTTATTTGTAAAATAGCCCCGTGTATCTATTGTATATTTGAAAGGGTCAGTCTGTCTGTTCAAAAACTCCTCCTAAATGGTAAGAACTAGGACCACCAAATTCAGTATATAGCTTCTCTTGTATCTTAAAACAAAGTAAGTGTTTGATTGTGCCAGGAAAATAGGATGTACCTGGAATGGGATTGCTTCTACTAAAGCCATACAGGAGAGAGACAGAATGACCAGACAGGTGAAACATCCCCTCCCAGCTGGAAGTGCTGCAGCTCCTAGCCTCCCACTACCTAGGCACCCTTTTAGGGAGTAAAGAGGGCTCACACACCTCTCCAATTCCTAGAAGAACATTGCTAGCTGTTCCCCTTTGTGAGAGAGCAAGGAGAAAGTGCACAGTTTTCTGCATTCCTCACTCTGGCTGGGGAGTACAGGGGCGGATGAACCTGGACCTGCTCCAGCCAGGGGATCTGCAACCCTCCCCAACTGTGGCCACTGGAGCTACAGAGACCATGGAGAGGCACTTATGGCCTCAAGCTACTGCAGAGAGAGCACTAGGGAAGTCCTCTCTCCCCTGGGCATCCTGCATACTGAACCCCTCATCCCAAAGCAATGATTTAAATGAAGAGAAACAAACATTTTGAGTTAAGGATCCAAGGTAAATCTTCTAGTAATAATAATTTTTATATATATTAATTAGCAGCAGATTTAAAACAGAATGAAATATTTCTTCACACAACAGTCAAGCTGTGGAACTCCTTGCCAAAGGAAGTTGTGAAAGCCAAGACTATGACAAAGTTCAAAGAAAGAACAAAAAGTTCATGAAGAATACATCCATCAGTGGGTTCAGGATGGGCAGGAATGGTTCCTAGCTTCCATTTGCCAGAGTGGCCAGGTAAGGAACACATGATACGGGACTGTTGGAACAACAGACCGACCGAGGCGCCTGAAGCTGGTGAGGAGTCATACAAACTAGGGATCAAAAGGCTAATTGGTGGGTCAAATTTCAAGGCACAAGAACTAGTGAGGTGACAACATAAAGACAGTGGCTGAATGGAAGTGGGGATGCAGGGGGATGAGAGGATGCAGGGAAATGAGAGCAGAGGAGATAGCGGCTAGTTGAGTTGCAGTGCAGGGATACATGGAGACAGGGGCAGCTATGCCTGGCTGAATGGAAGGGCAGGGGAGCATGAGCGGGGAATGTGAGTGTAGTGATCTATGGAGACAGGGCAGAGCTGCAAATCTGAATGGGAGAGGCTAGGGGCCAGCCATAGTCTTCATTGGGAAGACTCCCAAATTCCATAACTATCCCATCCCTTTCCCCCCATAAAAAGGGTTCCATACTTTCCCCACCCTTATCTGACAATCCTCTAAGCTCACTCCCAGACTTCTTCCCAGCAATTACTTCCCTCTCCCTCAGCTCCTCCATTACCCCCTGAAGGCCCCAAGTCTTTGCACGCTTCTCAAGAGTGCAGAAAATAAATTTCTGGATTTTTTTGTTCTGTGTTGTTACAGTCATACTTGCTAGCAGGTATTTTAAAATAAAATTACCATAATACTTGTAACTGACATCATATTGTTATTTTGACAAAAAAAATTCAGAAATTACTACTACCACCACCACCAAAATAGATAACTTGAGGATGTTTGTACAAATTACTACACATAAATTTCCTTATTCTCCACAGTTAAACACAGCACTCCCTTATGGCATTTTAAGAGTGTCACTCTTTCAAGTACAACCACACTTTTTACAAAGCTTACATTTTGGTCTTAAACTACTTGACTAACTCCTTCAAAAAGGTATGGTTTCTCCAAAAGCAGACATTTAAGAAATCTGATCTTTTGAAGGCTGAAAACGAGCTGAAGAAAAATGAAGAGGAGCTATGGATACAAATTACCTGAATTAACAAAAGTGTGACAGTACAGCATAAAACTGATGTATAAGGTCATTAACATGGTCCAAGGAATGTACATTTAAATAATGTAACTAATTTGAATCTCTAAAGCTAACAATACATGTAGACAGGGAAGGCTTAAGCTGGAGAGAAGTGACTAGAAAAAATATCACATTAAGCAACACTAAAAATGATTTTAACAAGTCTAAATGACCAAGAATAAATAAAACGTAAGACATGAAAGTATAAAACTAAGACAGAGAAGGAAGGCAAACTAATCCAAAGGAGAAAGACAACAAAGCACAAAATCATTTGATGAAGCTATGATAATGGTTAGGAAAATTTATTCAGCAGATTTTTTTTTTTTTTTTTTTTTTTTAAACACACTATGCTCTTGATGAACACTCATCCACTACAAGAGTTCTACAGACATTAAAAACCAATTGTATAAGGTTAATCTGGATTACTACTGTATACATTGAACAGGGCACAAGAACTAGAACAGTAAAATCTTTATAAATATCTTATTTGTAACAGTGTTGATTAGTCAAAATATAAAGTGCTATATCAACCATATTACCCTGAAACTTAGCAGTCAAATAAGACACTATTCCTGAATGCATAAAAAGTCATATTGAATAAAAATAAGTCAGCAACTGTGATCTACTATATATTGAGAGGTGGTCTGTTCAAGAACTCCTGAACAGGAAGAGATAGGACCACCCAATTCAGTATACAGCTTCCTCTTATCACAACTTAAAACAGGGGCGGGGAACCACAGGCCCATGGGCCAGATGCAGCCTCCAGCTTGCCTGGATCCAGCCCTGAGGCTAAGCATTAAGGAGCTCACACCAGTGTTACAGCCCCCACCACCCACCCACAGGGCTGGAGTGCACAAAATCTACTAGCCTGGGCCCCCCAGGGTGTGGTGTGCAAAGGGAATATGGGGAGTGTCTTCCTTCTTCTCAGTCAGGGACTTCTCACTTTGCTTTTCACTTGTGTGCAGCCCCCGACTGATTTTTCTGTGGGTCAGCAGCCCCCAACCCAAAAAAAGTTTCCCACTCCTGACTTAAAACATAAGGTGCCAGGAAAATGGGTTGTGCCTGGAATGGAATTATTTCTCATAAAAACATATGAGAGCAGGGAATCGATAGGACTCAAGGGGCAGATTTATGGAGGATGTTTCACCAGCTCAGTTTGTTGCGCTATGTGCTGTGACTTAACTTTACCAAATTGAAGGGTGCCACACTACTTCACTATCACAACTTTCCTTGTTAAAAATAATTGTACCCACACAACTCCATACTTGAATTAACCACTCAGCATTGTGGGCAAATATCCCATGAATCAACGTTCCATCATTCAGTCCTAAATTCAGATTTTTCCATGGTGCCAGCACTATGCCTACCAGAAAGAAACTATAAGAATGCTACACTTCAGGTTTGAATTAACAGACTGCCATGCTTAACAGACTGCTATCCATTAATTTTGGCAGAACAATTTTCAAGTATAATGGACAGAAAACTGAGCACTGTAATCATGACAGAAACACACACACACACGAACGTGATGCTAACGTAACACCACTGGAATGGAGGCATGGTCAGACTAAAATGCACTAACTCCTGTAAGTGGTGCACTCAAAGAACTCTCCTTCTCCGTGTCCAAGGACTGATTGTTGCAGGTTTTTTGAAATAACAGTCCCCCTATGGTGTGTTCTCAATAGTCTGCAGAATACTGGAAGGTCAGATACAATGCTTGACCTTTATAATAAAAGGTATTCCATCACAGCTGTCTACCTCGTGTCCCTTTCTAGAGACATTCTATCCATTCTGATCCTTTGAGAATGCTCCAAGAAAGTATTCCTCCACAACTGTGCCTTTGTGGCTTTCTTCGCGGCTCTCTGCTGGAATGAGTTCAATAGCTCCTGGAAAGAATCTTCTCTTGACATTTGTCCCTACTCCCCCTTGAAGATTTTTTCAACCATTCTGCAGATGATAGCTCCCTTCTTCACGTGGGTCAGGAAATTACAGGTGCTAAGGAAAATAAGAAAAAGCACAAGTACTTACTGTCCCCACTCTAATCACCATGCCAAAAATGATTCTCTCTACAATTTCAAAATGCTATCCCAATCTTCTCTTCCCAAACTAAGGTTCACTTCTAGACAGTAAGTTTCCCCTCATATAAGCCCCTTGTAATAAAAACTAAGTGTTTGGCTGGCTGCACTGGTTTGGAGGGAAGCTGTATGATTCGGTAGGTTATTAACTGCACGTGCACCCGTTCAAGGTACCCTTTCAGTGGAGGATGTTACCCTTAGATGAAGTCCCAATAAGAACAAGAAAGGGGTCTGTCCAAAAAAGGCAACAAGCAAACCAGTGTTTACTAAGATACTGTCCCTGCGCCAGTGTAGGAGCTGAACAGAAACAATAGCTATAAGAGCAATCTCTGGAGTTAGTTTTCTCTAAACCATGCAACAGCTGATCAGGAGCCACACAGGCAGTCAGGGATGTGACAGGGAGAGGCAACTCCCCTGACCCAAGTGCTGCTGGAGGCAAAGGGAAGTCCTCTCTCCCTCCCAGGGCATCTGCACCTCAAACCCCTTATCCCTAGCCCCACTCCTGAGTCCACATCTATAGCCACAACTCTCACCTCCATCCCACACTCCAAACTCCTCAGCTCCACCCCTGTCACACATCTCCATACTGGAACACAATTAATTCTGTGCATTCGTTAGGAGTGGTGCTTTGCCTTACACGGTGCATGCCAAAATGAAGCACTACTAAAATGAAGCACTACCTTTGCCTTATATTCGCTTTTATAATGCCTATAGATAACCATAAGGTATACCTTTCAAAATAAAATTTTACAGTAACTACTGTAAACCCATTTTCAAACTACACTGTTCAAATGACTGCAGCCTGATTTGGGCCATTTACCACATGAATCCTCAACCTTATTAACAACTGAGTGTATTAATGAAACTGTTATAATAAAACACATCTGCCATCCAGTGCATTTTTAGTTCCCACAGTGCAGACATCTAGAGCAATGTATGAGGGAGTGCAGATTGTGGGAGGGAGAACAAACAGGACACAGCTTAGGAAAGGGGTTATGGAGCCAGAAGGGCGGCCAATGGCTGTGCATCTTGACACCACAAATAAATAAAATCCCTGATGCACACACCATTTTGAACATGCTATGGACAATGTGTTAAATGCCAAGTGGTGGAGAAAGGTTCCTAGCTTCAACCCAGCATGGCAGCAGACAGCTGGTCTGTGGAAAACAAAAATAGTATTATTCCCCCCCTATAATCTCCTGATGTAATTCAGGTCGTATTGCTTATGGGCAGAGCTCGACAAATTATATATTACT